AGCCCGCCTGGTCCCCGGAGCGCGCGGGGACCGAGTCTGTGTCTTCGGGAAAGCGAGGCGTCAGCGTCCTTTGATGGAGATTTTCCTCTTTTCTTCGTTTCTCCTCCAGGGAAACTCACAGCGGAGCTGGGTATGTTCCGGGCCCGCGCCCACCGCGCTGGCTGCGGGGTAGAGGGGTGAAAGCGGCGCGCGCAGTGGAAGGAGGGGCTCCGTGACCTTAGGCCCCCCTGGACAGCGACCGGTGGCGCAGACCTAACTCGCACTCCGCCCTCGGCGCCTCCCGCCGCTTCACTCTCCAGCGGACTCTATCGCAGCTGCCAAGGGGGTCCGGCCTCAGGCCCCCCGGACAGCCCCCGCCAGCCCCCTCGCTACCACTTACAATCACCAGTAAACGTTTACTCCCACTGGTTCATCTTCCTAGGATAGCCTTCAATTTTTAATGCAAGTGCCACTGGGCAGGGTGGCACCTTGAACTTGCATGGGAGTGAGTCCAGCGTAAATACAGTAGAGTCTAAATTAGCGTATAGAGCTGCCTTTCTCAGGAACGTCTGCTTTTAAAAGACAGGGTGGACACATCAAAGGAAAGCAGCTCCAGTGGCAAATTATCAACCTTGGCATCTGGGCAGGGGAAATAATTAAGGGTGACTTCCTCCCAGTCCTTTAAATAATGCTCCGGGTAAGTGGCCCTGAGCCTCAGGCAGGCGATGCTCAGGGCCTGGACTCGCCCAGGAAAGCTGGTGATTTCAGGGCAGATGAGCAGTAGCCTCTTCAAACCGGACCTGAGCCCTGGGAAGAGGCTCATCAGTGCCAAGCCTGCCCCCCACCCCCGTGTGGATTTCTGCCCCAGAGCAAGGAATAGGATGAGATGTTAGAATCTGCCAAAAGGCGGTGCAGAGACTCTGGTGGGACTGAGGTGGGCTGTGCTCTAAGACTAGGGAGCATCTTCCCAGTGGCCTGACTGCCTCGGGAAGATGGTTGCAGTCAGCCCAAGGCTGACGTTTGCTGTGTGTTCTGCTTATAGGGAAGCTGCAGTCGGAGCTTGGTAAGTGACCCCTCTTAGAACTGTCCCTTCTTGTCCACCTTTGGCATCTGGTTATGGATGTAAAGTCTTCCCATCTTTCAGCCAGGGACCATGGCCAGGCTGGAGCCCTGCTGGCTCTGTGGGTGGCCGGAAAGGGGAGGGGGTGGGAGAGGGGAAGCTGCAGGAACCTGTGTTCTGATTCCGTTTTTTTCCTTAACTGATTCAGACTGGAGAAGAGCTGAAGGCCAGGCTGGTGAGTGGCGTCCATTCTTTCCCGCTGTCCACTTTACGTCTCATCACCCCACTCACTCTGATTAACCAACCACATTTCAACCCGTTTAGCCCACAGCTTCACTCCGCATAAGTTCATCTTCGTCACTGGCAGAGGTTATATTCAGGTTTTTGCTTTCATAATTTTTTATATTGCCGTGAGGTGTGAGCATACTGTAAGCCATTGGTGCCAGTCCTGGTTGCAGATAAGAATCCGCTGGGCTCCTGGGGCCCCGCCTCAAAGACTCTGGCTTGTGGGTCTGGGGTGGGCGTGTTCCCCTACATGTAAGCATTCTCCCTCCATCTCCCTCATTTCCCCACAAAGCAACCCGTCTAACACCTGCCTTATATTACATGTATTCTTGCAAAATGTGGATTTCTGTTTTGTGCACATGCATTTTAGTTTGTGTGCATTGCTTTTACGGTCTCCTGCTATTCCTGGCTGTTCTCACTCATCACTGCTTTAATATCCGTCCTGCCGCCACGTGCGCATCTGGCCTGTTTTTCCTTCTTGTTGCCGAGCCCCCCATTTTAGCCAGTCACCCTCCTGAAGGAGGCAGCCAGCCCAGCCTGCCTCTGACTCCACAGGCATGCGCCTTCTGGCCCTGTGTGGAGATTTCCCTGGGATGTGTGCCCAGGAGAGGAATTACCGGCCCGTGGGAGTATGTCACTAAGTGGGACAGAGGGTTCCCAAAGGCAGCGCCGTCATCCTGCCTTTGACAGCGCATGGGGGCTCCGTGTGCCCACATTCCAATGAGCCAGCTTTCCAAGTCTGCCAGTCAGAGGGGGCAGTGATTCCCACTGTTCTTTCAGTCTGCACTCCTCTGAACACTAAGGAGTTTGGGCATCTCTTACATGCTAGTTGGCTGTTGGGGATTCCTCTTCTGAACATGTCCCTTTGCCCATTTTTTCACTTAAGGTTACTATTTTTTTTTTAAATTAATTCACAAGATATATATATGTGTGTGTGTGTGTGTGTGTGTATGATATGAATCCCTCATTGGTATTAAATATTGTGNGGGTTACTATTTTTTTTTTAATTGATTCACAAGATATATATATGTGTGTGTGTGTGTGTGTATGATATGAATCCCTCATTGGTATTAAATATTGTGAATTCCTTTTTCTAGTCTCTCACCTTTGTCCGTGGTGCCTCTTATTGAAAAAAAAAAAAAAGCCATTACTTTTGATACAGTCTAATTCATCACATTTTTACCTATGCCTTGTTGGGTTTTTTAGTTTTGTTGAAGTACACCTTCCTCACACTTAAGTCACAAAGATTATCTTACACTTTCTTCTATTCTTTTTATATGTGTGTCTTTAATCCATCTGAATTTTGCCATTATATGTGGTATTAGGTGATAATCGTGATTTTTCTCCATAGAGTCGATTTTCCCAGTGCCATCTACTGCACCAGCCGTGATTTCCCCTTTGACGTGGGTGTCACCTTTAGTGCATATTTGGTTTCCGCATTTAGCTGGGCCTGTCTGTTGGCCACCTGTTACGTCATTATTTCTAGTGCTATTGCTTTTATAGTACTTGAAAGTACAAGTTCTTCATTTCACTTCCTTAATGGACCTTTTTAAAATATAAATTTTAAGATAAATTTATGAAGTTCCTTTTAAAAATCCAAAAGCAGCTTTGCATAGCATTGCTTTGAATTAATAGCTAAATTAGGGAGAATCAACATCTTTATGGAATCGAGGTACTCTATGCAAGAGGTATATGTTTATAAAGTTCTATTGGCTATTCTTGTGCAAAACCAGTGTTGAAAAGCCCTGCTATAAATTTATGGAGCTCTGAAAACCTCTTCTATTGCTTTTGCTATTTTGTGACTTGGTGACTTTTCTGTTATAAAACAGAACAAGATGAAATGAAGCAGAAACCCACTCAGAATGGCTCACACTAAGAAAGGAGGCGAGATGGGGTACCTAGAGGACCTGTTAGGACGGGAGCCAGTCTGGGCTGGGCCTCCTGGCACCCAGCTTGCCAGTCAGAGAGTGAGGCTTTATCTCCATCCTGCAGGACGCCCATGCAGCTTGTATTTGTTCTCTTTGCCCGCATGCTCTGTCCTCCCCCTGTTCCCGGCACCCCTTCAGCCTGCATGCAGCTTTGGTGTAACCCAGCACTGACACCAGCCCCTTACTCAATCCTGAACCCCCAGGAAGACGCTATGGTGGACCCAGGCCAGTCTGGACCTAAACCAGCTGTCATGGTGGGAATGGGGTCGTTCAGTGCTACCGTGTATCTTGAGCCTCTCTCAAGGTTCCAGGGTTACTGGCTCAGCTCTCTGAGCCTCGTTTCCCTCTCTGTTTGGTTTCAGAGTGGAGAGCAGCCCAACAGTATGCAGGTAACTGGAGGCGTGGCGCGTGGGCGAGGGGCCGAGGAACTGTGACATGACTTAGGTTGGCTGGATCTTTAACAGAGGGAGGTGAAGAGATCTGAGGTTAGAGGAAGGGTCTGTCCAGAAGCCAAGTATGAGCCTGCACACACAGACACACTAGCCCACTTGCACACATATAACATGACCCACACACCTGCATATGCACATGTGCACACATACATGCTTGTGTGCATACATGTGACTGACTCACATGTCGTACATGTCATGCAGACACATGCCCCCACAAACATGTATCTTTCTTGGTTTTACTGGGTCTTTCCACGTGCAGAAGCCTGTTTGCAGGAGCAAATACAGACTTTGTAAGGAAACTTTTAGATGGTCTGACAGAAGGGATCCTTGGGTTCCCATCCATCCGATGAGTGTATTTTGGCAGCTATGTGATGGTGTACAGGGCACTAGGCTAGATGATCTCAGAGGTCCCCTTCAGCTTTAAAATCCTAAAATTGCTGTAAAACCGAGGCCCAGAGGTTACACACTTGATGCTCTCTAGGTCACCCTGGTGGTGACACCAGCTGGGACTAGCAGCAGCCCTAGGCTCCTTCCCCTAGGCCAGGACTTGGGGACAGCGAGCCCTCCTCCATCCCCAGGAGCCTTCCTTGTCGCTGTCTCTCCGTGGCACCCGGTGTAGAATTCAGGACCCTTCCAGTTCCGGAAAGAAATAGGACTCCTCTTACACATTCCAGTGCCTTCAGTCCCAGGGTGTTTCGGGTTGAGGGTGGGGGTGAATGTTCCACCAATTGCTCCAGAACTAGAGGTGGGCTGCCCCGGGGAGAAGACAGGTGGGGCCCGGCCCCGTCCTCTCGGGCACTAACCCGGGGCCTCTGCGCAGTGGACGTGACCCTGGACGCGGCCTCTGCGCACCCCAGCCTGGACGTCTCCCAGGACGGCAAGAGCGTGTGTTCGCGCGGGGTGGCG